TTTTTTTTTCTCACTTAATTATTTAGGATTAAAAAATATGTATAATACTTATATCATTTATGTTAAAGAAAAAAAAAACCTATATAACAAAATTTATTTTATATAAATATATACATTCTTACATTATAGAATTTTGAAAATAATCAATGCCTAAAGAGTTAGAAATTCCTAATCCGCTTAATCCATTATAATTCATGTTATCGTATAAATATGGTGCATCTGATTCGATATTGGCAGATTGAAAATTAATATTAATATGTTCGTTAAAATATTCTTGGGATGATGAAATATTTTCATTAAATAAATTATTATTATTATCAGAATAAAAAATTGTATTATTATTATCAAATTCTTGATTTTGATAATAATTATCGAAATGATGATTATCATTTTTTATTTGTTGAAAATCTTCAGTTTGATTGAAAATTCCGGTACCAAAAGATTGTTCAGAATAACAAAAATCAAGATCATATTCGAATTGTTCAGTTAATTCAGGTGAAAGACTGCTAGTAATCGAAAGTTCTGGACTTGGAATCATATTTTGATAAACTAAATTCGTATCATTTGTCATCATATCAAAATTCATTTCAGGTGAAGAAAAAATATTATTAAAATCGGAAATAAAATCTTCATTTTGAGTTGTAGTAGAACTTGGAGAAGATGATTGTATAGGTGAAGGAATTTGTTGAATAATTTCTAATTGATTTAATTGAACTTCATTTTCAACCGATTCTTTAATTTCATTTTCTGTTTCTGTTTTATTTTGTGATGATGATGAATTAGATTTTTTAGGATCAAATGAAACAATATTCCATTTTTGACGTTTTTTTGTTGTCTTGTTCTTATTCTTAAATGAAACAATGTTCCATTTTGCTCTCTTTCTTCTACATCCTGATTTAGGATACATTTCATTACGAAGATTAAATGCTTCATTAGCAAGTCTACGATATTCTGATTTAACCATGTCAGGTTCTTGTTCCCATGATTGAGAAGCCATTGATGACATAATTCTCATAGGTAAATGATATCCATCAGAATGTGCAGCATCAATAAAAGCTTTTCTGTAAATAATGAAAGCATTAGGAGCTCTCGCAGGAATATTGTTAGTGTTCGATTGTTGACCGATTAAATCTACCGGATCAATAACAGGAGGAAAAGGTATTTTGATCAAAGGACGAATCTTACTGTCAATTACTTGATAAGGCATCGAAGGATTACTTGAATCTATGAAAACGCAAGCACGTGACAAATTCGTTTGACTGATTTTTTGGATTTGGTCCATCATTGTCGATCTTTATCAAATATATCAAACAAATTTTTTTTTTAAAAAAAAAAAACTATTTTTTTTCTTTAAAAAAATAAAAAAATAAAAAACTTGATAAAAGAACTGGTGAAAGAATCGAAGGAAACGAAAATTTTTCCATCTTATTTATTAACTTTTTTTACTGGACCGTAAACCCCGTCTTTGGTAAACAAACAGATGATTCTTTTTTATCAATTGAGGGTTAAATATAGAAACAATTATATATAAATTGAATTTCGATCAATTTACGATTTAATATTTTTATTACTTTAAATGGCTGTGTTTCTTTAAATGTTAAATTTTTATGTGATACCTTCGGACTATGATTTCAGGTAAAGATTGCAAATCAAAATCTAACAACCTGAGTTACTGAAAATCCATTGTTCCTTGTATCCAATTTTCAATCAAAGGGAACACAATGACATCATTATATATGATGAAACTAAATATACAGAATTATTTATACCATGCCACTTTAATCTTCTTGCATAATTTTTGACAAAGCCACAATTAAAAATATTAAACAATTACTTTTTCCAATCATTGCAATAATTTATCCATGTGGCTATTCCACGAAGGGGAACTAGGAACTCAATCTATGGTTCGGTCTACGAAGACCGTAAAAGTTATGATTTGTTTATTAATTAGCTTGCGGTCGAATATTATTGAGAACGAATTAAAAAACCCGAATTACCGATCGGTTTAAAATTTCCAGATTAAAAAAACAAATCATCAAAATTTTAACAAAATTTCCTAAATAATTCTTATTTACGTAACGTGTTTTTTCCTATGCGCTATTTTTTTTCCGAATAAACCTTCTTTTCCGCCAACCCTTTTTTTCCGTAATATACTTAATTAAGTAATTAAAAAAAAAAAATTACTGTTTCAGAGTCTAAATGATACTTTTTTTTTTTGACACGCGGAAAAACTGAGAGGGTTGAATATGAGGATTAAAATTATCATTATCCGAATCTTTCTTCAAATCGGAATCCTTTTTTAAAATTCATAATCCTTTTTAAAAATTCGTAATCCTTTTTTAAAAATCATTCTCTTATTTTATTATTAATACTCCCTAAACTATAACATTTCGACTTACAATGATTTGTTTAATTCAGAAAAAAAAACAACTTAAGCCTACATTGATTTAGGATCTTGGAAAATTCCAAAGTACAGTTATTGCATTTTTTTTTATTTTTAAAAACATGCATGCAATTGCTGCAGGTTACTGCATATTAGAGTATTTTTTGGTATTTTTTAATAATAAAAAATTATACCTATAAATATCGGAAAAGCGATGCATGCATTTGACCTAATTTATCTATCTCGTGACCATTATTCTTTTTTATTCGTCGGAGAAAAATGAATTAAAATTTTTTGAAATTAAAATTTTTTGAAATTAAAATTTCCAGTTCCTTTTCTTGTTAAACAGTTGATTGATTTTGATCATCAATGGATTATTCTAAAAAAACCTCATTTATAATATTTTAATAATTCTAAATTTGTCAATTTTGTTATCCACTTACTATTTAAAAAAAAAAAAATAATCGAACTAAACGAAAAAATTCGCTAGGATAGCGAGTGTTGCGAAACTTTGTACTACATCAAATAATTGTTAATATTGTTAATATTGTTTGTTAGGTTCGTCAAGCTAAATTTTGTCATACATGTTTTTATTGATAGTACTACGTTTCTTATTACAATTAGACAATTAGGAAACTGTCCCCCATATTAATCATTCCCTCGTTCAAAAAAAAACTTGGGTTCCCATTCACGTGATTCTTTATTTATAAATTACAAATAAAATTTATTTTAATATAATTTTGATTATTTTTGATTATTTTGATTATTTTGATTATTTTTTTTTTGTGAATCCTGAACCCTTTTTTTTCCCCCAGAATTTTTCAAATTTTTTCTTTTTTTAAAAAAAAATAAAAATAAATGAATTCTATTAATGTTATTAATGTTGAAGAATGGAAAAATTCAAAATATCTTGATTATAATAATACTTTTAATATTATAAAAGATATACTTAATGCATTTCATGATTATGAAATGAATAATGTTAATATACTTCCAATAAAATTTATTAATGATATTAAAAATCAAGAATTTATATTTTATCAACTTATTAAAGAAGATATTGCATTAGAATCTTATAGATTTTCATTATACGCTGATGATGTTATAATTTATATTGATATGTTAATGAAAGAAAGTATTGAATTAAATGATTTATTGGAAGTTTTAAAATCTTTATTTGAGGATACAAAAATTCGATTGAATTTTATGGAAGATTTATATAATAAATATAAGAATAATGATGAAATGAAAAAAATTCTTAATAATATTCATGAATATGGTCATCATACTTTGAATGATAATTTTACATCTTATAATTCAAATAATTCAAATAATCCTTTTCATTCTTGTCTTGCATCATTATTATCATCATCATCACAATTATCTAGTAATTTTTTATCTTTTATTAAACCCAATAATAAATCTTCTTTAAATCAACCACTTTTAAATAATGAGAATGAGAATCAATCAAATTTAGAAATTTCTTTTCAAGAATTAATTTTTAAACATGAGAAAGGATTAAATATTATTTATGAAATTAAACAATTTTGGAAAAATCAATTTGAAATTATTAATAAATTTATTGATATTTTTGAGAAAGGTGAAAAGAAAGATGAAATTTTATTACCTCAAGAAGTTGGTCAAGATATTCGTAATAATTGGGAAGAAGAAAAAAAAAATAGTGAAATTTTTTATCATAAAATTCGTAACTTACTTAAATAGTTTTAAAATTCTTAGTAATTTATTATTATTATTATATAATGCATATAATTATACAAATCAATAAATTCAATAGGTTCACTTTTGAAATACTGTAAATTTAATTCGTTCCTATTTACTTCCGTTCCTATTTACTATTTACTGGACGATACCATCCATATATTATTTTCTTTATATCCTTTTTCCAACATCGCGTCACTATTTTTTTTAAAAAAAAAGATTGATAAGTATACGTTATAGAATATCGATTATTTAAAAAATTCTTCTAGTATCAAACTGTACTCTTCAGATTTCGCGCGAATTTTCTTTGCCATAGCCATAATATTCCTAGAGGTAATTTTATTCATTCGTTGTTCGCCACGTTCCAGCAGTTTGATAATACCTTCAATTTCAGTAATTTGTCTAACCCAATGAATTCACAATAAGAGATCATGTAAGTAATATTTTCAAGACAACTACGCATCTCTCGTAGGTATTGTGAGAATTCTTCTCTAACGCTTTCTAATTGGTAATTTAGTTTGATACTCTCATTAGATGAAGTATTAGCATTTGCGGTAGAAATTTCAGCTGTAACCGCACTGTGAAATTAATTATTATGTGGGTGTTATATTCAAATTGATTAATTACGTAACTCAAAATAACAACTTCATTTAAAAAATTAGTAAATTACCCTCCAATAAAGGTAAGACCACTAACTCCCAAGGCAACTAAGGATGCTCCCCCTGTGAGCGGAATTGACACAGCTGCAGTAATAAGTCCAAGTCCGGCTACTATTTTACTACGGTTTGCACTTAATTTTGCATCATTTGTTCGTTTATTTTCCGTATCAATGTAATTGGATAAATCTTTTCGTTCTTTGATAATTTTGTAATTATATTTTAGAATTTCTTTAGCAATTCTACCTAAAGAATTTTCAATATTTTTAATTTGTTCCTTTAATTTTGTAGCTTCTGATTTATATAACAAAGAATCTCTTGATAGTGATTTTAAGTATTCCAACAGATCCTCCTTACTAATACCATCACAACATTCGGCAAATAGAATTAAATCTTCAGCATAATTACACATTTTTAGACTTTGAGATATGGATTCTTCAGCAAAATTTCGAAATATCACACTTTGTTCAGAAATTTGATTAATTTTCTCCTGAATAAAATTATTATCCTTAACTCTATCCGCCATTTTGATTATTTCGTTAAAAATTTCAATTAAAAAAAAAATGGGTATAAATTTACTCTAGGTGATTTTTTTTTTTTTGTTTTTCAAAATCTCATTTTATGAAATGAGAAAATTTATTCTTATCTACACATCCTTACCTAAAAAAAATTATAGTTTTAGGGTAGGGTAGCATAATATTAACGACCCCATTCGAAATGTATGCAGATCTTGAATTCTTTTTACTTTTTGCATTACAAAATTTTTTTTTTGGCATCGAAATCAGGTAATTTTGTGTAAATTCACTCACTAACGTGACTGTTTTAATTATCAATATAATCAATGCAAGTTTGTATCAGTTTAAACAAATAAAAACATTCTATATCATTGTAAACCGTGTGAAATAATAAATCAAATCTATTGTTCTAATTCGTACTTAAACGAGCTATTGATCAAATCTTTATATTTGGGCGTACAATTATATATTGATTGACTCAATTCTTTTCATTGTTCCATTTTCGATACGATCTGATAATATGATTTGGTCAAATATCAGCTATATTATATTATATAGGGTACCATATTAACCATACTTGCACTATACTATATATATAATGCAAGAAATCCCGGAATCTTGTGCGGGAATTAAAATGAAATCTTAATGACCACATGTCATATTGGGACTATGAATGTTTTTCTCATTTGTCACATGCTAAAAATCGTGTGGATAGAATATTTGTTGGTAATACTCAGATATTTGTAAGAAGAAAAAAAAATAATGAAATTTTTTATCACAAAATTCGTAATTTACTTAAATAGTTTTAAAATTCTTAGTAATTTATCATAATTATAATTATACAAATCAATAAATTCAATAGGTTCACTTTCTGAAATACTGTAAAGTTCCTATTTTAATGAACGATACAGTATATTATTTTCTTTATTTATATCCTTTTTCCAACATCGCGTCACTTTTTTAAAATAAAAAGATTGATGAGGATACGTTATAGAATATCGATTATTTTAAATAATTTCTACAAAAATTCTTACTGCTAGTATCAATCTCTATTTATAGCTTGTCGCATGTTGAAACTGTAACCTTCAGAATTCGCGCGAGTTTTCTTTGCCTTGGCTAAAACATTCCTAGATATAAGTTTATTCATTCGTTGTTCGCCACGTTCTAACTTTATGATAATATCTTCAATTTCAACAATTTGTCTTTCCCAATAGAATTCACAATGAGAGATAATGTTAATAATATTATCAAGACCATTATGCATCACCCGTAGGTATTGTGAGAATTCTTCTCTAACGCCTTGTAATTTGTAATTTAGATTGCTGCTGGCAGCAGCAGACCATCTAGCGACTGCATTACAAACTGTATTTGTAGCCGTACTGTGAATTAATTTTTGTTATATTCAAATTGATTAATTACGTAACTCAAAATAACAACTTCATTTAAAAAATTAATAAATTACATAATGGTAAGATTTTCAACTGCAAAGGTAACAGAGACAATCAAGGATACTCCCCCTGTGAACGGAGCTGCCAAAACTGCAGCAATAAGCCCAATTCCGGTTACACGTTTTGCAATTGATTTTGCATCATCTGTTAGTTTATTTGCCTTATTAATGCCATCGGATAAATCTTTTCGTTCTTTGGTAATTTTGTCATTATATTCTGAAATTTCTCTAGCAATTCCGCCTAAAGAATTTTTAATATTTTCAATTTGTTTCTTTAATAATGTAGCTTCTGATTTATGCAACTTAGAATCGCCCAATAGTGATCTTAAGTATTCCAACAGATCCTCCTTATTAGTACCATCATTTTCACACCATTCGGCAAATACAATTAAATTTTTAGCATGATAGCACATTTTTAGACTTTGAGATATGGATTCTTCAACAAAATTTAGAAATATCACTCTTTGTTCAGAAATTTGATTAATTTTCTCCTGAATAAAATTATTATCCTCGACTCTAATCCTATTAATTTGAGCAAAATATTCGATAGATTGAATTATTTCCTTTTGTAATTCATTTATATCAGGCTCAGTGGGACTTGAAGTATCTGCCATTTTGATTATTTCGTTAAAAATTTCAATTAAAAAAAGAAATAGGTATATATTTATTCTAGGTGATTGTTTTTATTTTTCAAAATAATATTTCATTTTATTGAAATGAGAAATTTAAAATTTCGATTCTTTTTTTATTTATCTACACATCCTAAAAAAATTAGTTTTAGGGTAGGGTAGCATAATATTAACGGCCCCCATTCGAAATGTGTGGGAAGATCTTGAATTCTTTTTACTTTTTGCATTACAAATTTTTTTTTGGCATCGAAATCAAGTAAATTTGTGTAAATTCACTCACTAACGTGACTGTTTTAATTATCAATCAATGCAAGTTTGTATCAGTTTAAACAATAAAAACATTCTATGTCATTGTAAACTGTGTGAAAAATAAATTAAACCTATTGTTCTAATTCGTACTTAAACGAGCTATTAATCAAATTTTTATTTATTTTTTGATTTGGGCGTACAATTATATATTGATTGACTCAATTTAATTGTTCCATTTTCGATACGATAATTATATAATATGAGATAACCGACCTAAATAACAATTATGTAAAATCTGCATGAACTTATGAGGATAACTGATAATAATGAGTATGATAATATGATTGGTCAAATATCAGCTATATTATATTATATAGGGTACCATATTAACCATACTTGCACCATACCATATATATAATGGAGTTACGGATCAAATTTTTTACAGGGAGTTCCACTCCATGTGGTCATTAAGATTTCACTTTAATTCCTGCACAAGATTCCGGGATTTCTTGAATAGTGCGGTTACGGCATGCCTATAAAGGATGATGAGTGTTTTATCGATCCATGTTTATTCTGGGAATGTATCATTTTCATGGAATTTATAGCCTTAAATCATGGAAATTTTTACGGAAGACACGGAGAAATAATGCAAATATTCAGATAAAATCTTTTATAGGGACTGAATGTTTTGTCTCTCTAAAAATCGTGTGGATAGAAATTTTTTTGGTAATACTCAGATATTCGTAATAAATGGGAAGAAAAAAATTTTTTTATTAAATTGTCTAGTTAAACACATAGTTTTTGACATATTTTTTTCTATATTTATATACTTAATAAATATAACGCATACAAATCAAATAAATTAAATAGGTTCACTTTAATAAAACGATTATTAGATAACAAAAATAAATTTAAATTGTTACTTTTTACTGGACGATACCGTTTTATTATATCCTTTTTCTAACATCGCGTCACTATTTTTTTAAAAAAAAAAAGATTGATGAGGATACATTATAGAATATCGATTATTTTAAATAATTTTTACAAAGTTCTTACTGCTATCAAATCTCTATTTATAGCTTGTCGCACATTGAAACTGTAACCTTCAGAATTCGCGCGAGTTTTCTTTGACTTCTCCAAAATAGTCCTAGAGATAACTTTAGTCATTCGTTGTTCGCCACGTCCTAACTTATTGATAATATCTTCAATTTCAACAATTTGTCTTTCCCAATAGAATTCACAATGAGAGACAATGTTAATAATATTATCAAGACCATTATGTATCACCCGTAGGTATTGTGAGAATTCTTCTTTAACGCTTAGTTTTTTTCTTAGACGGGTACTAGTAATAGATGAAGCTTCAGCATCTTCGGTAGAACGTTCAGCTGTAGCCATACTGTGAAATTAATTTTTATGTGGTGTGTGTTATATTCAAATTGATTAATTACATAACAAAAAATAAACTTCATTTGAAAAAATTACCCTCCACTATAAGCAAAGGTACCAAGCCCAAAGACAACTAAAGAGACTCCCCCTGTGAACGGCAATGACGCAACTGCAGCAGTCAAACCAAGTCCGGCTACTACTTTACTACGTTTTGCACTTGATTTTGCATCATCTGTTTTTTTATTTTCCGTATCAATTCTATCTGATAAATCTTTTTGTTCTTTGGTAATTTCGTCATTATATTCTGAAATTTCTTTAGCAATTCTACCTAAAGAATTTTTAATATTTTCAATTTGTTTCCTTAATAATGTAGCTTCTGATTTATACAACTTAGAATCGTTTAATAGTAATCTTAAGGATTCCGTCAGGTCCTCCTTACTAATGCCATCATCTTTACAACATTCGGCAAACACAATTAAATCTTCAGCATGATTGCACATTTTTAGACCTTGAGATATAGACTCTTCAGCAAATTTTCGAAATTTCACTCTTTGTATAGAAATTTGTTTAATTTTCTCCTGAATAAATTTATTATCCTTGACTCTAATCCTACTAATTTGAGCAAAATATTCGATAAATTTAATTATTTCCTTTTGTAATTCATTTATATCAGGTTCAGTGGGATTTGAAGTATCTGTCATTTTGATTATTTCGTTAAAAATTTCAATTAAAAAAAAAATGGGTATATATTTACTCTAGGTGATTGTTTTTTATTTTTTCAAAATAATATTTTCATTTTATGAAAATTTAAAATTTCAATTCTTTTTATTTATCTACACATCCTTACCTAAAAAAATTAGTTTTAGGGTAGGGTAGCATAATATTAACGTCCCCATTCGAAATGTGTGGGAAGATCTTGAATTTTTTTTACTTTTTGCATTACAAAACAATGTTTTTTTGGCATCGAAAATCAGGTAATTTTGTGTATCCCGTTACACGTAACTGTTTCCCAAAGAGGATATATTTGATATCTATTATTAGATAAGAAGCAGTTTAACATTAGTAAATTCACTCACTAACGTGACTGTTTTAATTATCAATCAACGCTATATCATTGTAAACTGTGTGAAATAATAAATCAAACCTATTGTTCTAATTCGTACTTAAACGAGCTATTAATCAAATTTTTATTTATTTTTTGATTTGGGCGTACAATTATATATTGATTGACTCAATATCTAATTGTTCCATTTTCGATACGATAATTATATAATACGAGATAACCGACGCTAAATAACAATTATGTAAAATCTGCATGCCGCTGAACTTATGAGGATAACATAATAATGAGTATGATATGATCTCCATTGTATGATGATATGATTTGATCGAATATCAGCTATATTATACTTTACAATCTTTTAAACTTACTTTAATAAAATCTTTCTTTTTGAATTTTCTTGTTTAACAAAATAATTATGAGTGAACTATATCCTCTTGGACATAAGGGTAAATAAATATTATATTATATAGGGCACCATATTAACCATACTTGCACTATACCGTAACCGCACTGTACAAGAAATCCCAGAATCTTGTGCAGGAATTAAAGTGAAGTCTTAATGACACGTGTCATATTGGGACTATGAATGTTTTGTCTTATTATTTGTCACAGGCCAAAAACCGGGTGGATAGAAAATTTGTTGGTAATACTCAGTCCGTAATAGATGGGAAGAAAAAAAAATTTTTATTAAATTGCTTAGTTAAACATATAGTTTTTTGACATATTTTTTCTATATTTATATTCTTAATAAATATAACGCATACAAATCAAATAAATTAACTAGGTTCACTTAAATAAAACGAATATTAGATAACAAAAATAAATTTAAATTGTTACTATTTACTGGACGATACCGTATGTTATTTCGTTATATCCCTTTTCCCAACATCTCACGTCACTATTTTTTTAAAAAAAGATTGATGAGTAAATAATTAGATACATTACAGAATAGCGAATTTTATTATAAAATTCTTACTCCTTGTATCACATCTCTAGTCAGAGCTTGTCGTACAGTAACACTGTATTTATTAGAACTTTCGCGTAATTTTTTTGCCTTAGACAAAATAACCTCAGCGTTAAGTTTTGTCATTAGTTGTTCGCCATATTCTAACTTTTTAATAATATCTTCAATTTCGACAGTTTGACGTTCCCAATGAACTAATTTCACGAAGACCAATTTGCATCTCTTTTAGATCTTGCGAAAAATCTTTTCTAACGCTTTTTAATTCGTAATTTAGAAAGCTGCTGTAAATAATTGAACCTCCAACAGTTATGTTAGAAACTGAAGTTGTAATCGTACTGTGAAATTAATAATTATTTGGTATGTGGTATATTCAAATTACAGTAATTAAGTATTAGGCTCAAATAACTCAAAAAACTTCAATTAAAAAAAAAATTACCCTCCAAGAAATACCATACGTCCAAACCTACAGATCTGAGGAGCAACCTTTGCAATTGCGGATGTTCCCCTGCGAAATGATCTGCCGTAGCTACGGCAATAGCCCCAATTCCGGCTAATATTTCACCTTATATCGCAAGTTCATTTGCATTTTTAATTCTGTTGGGATTATTGTTTTTTATATCGTTAATTTTCTCATTATATTCTGAAATTTCTTTAGCAATTTCACCTAAAGAATTTCCAACTCTTTCAACTTGTTTTTTTAATGATGTAGCTTCTGATTTATATGTCTTAATATTGATTAATAACGTTTTTAATGGTTCCAACAGATCGTCCTTATTAAAGTTATCATTTTTAAAATATACAATTAATTCTTCAGCATAACTGCACATTCTTAGACTTTGAAGTATAGATAGAATCTTCAGCAAATTTTCGAAATTCCACTCTTTGTTTAGAAATTTGTTTAATTTTCTTTTGAATAAAATTATTATCCTTGACTCTAATCTTACTAATTTGAGAAAATTTTTCGATAGATCGAATTGTTTCCCTCTGTAATTCTTCCATACCAGGCTCAGTAGAACTTGAAGTGTCCGTCATTTTGATTATTTTGTTAAAATTTTCATTCAAAAATATATATTATTATATTTAGGGATAGTTTCTTTAGGTGGTTTGTTTTTATTTTTTTAAATGAGGAAATAAAATTTCAGTTCTTATTTATTTAACTACACGAAATGTACAGTACGTACTTAGGAGGAGATCTTGGTTTAACTGAAAAATTTTACAAAACAATTAACTTTCTTTACCATTGTGAATCAGGTAATTTTAAGTACCCGTTACACGCAATTGTTTCCAAAGAGGATATTTGATATCTATTAGGTAAGAGCATGACGAATTCGTTGCAAATTTTATATCAGCTTATTTAATATCATTTGTAATTCGTGTGAATAATTTTGATTGATTTTTTGACTTTGAGCGTACTATGACGTCTTTTAAAAAATCCTAGATAAATCCTAGATAATTTTATATTGACATCCTCTCAATAATTTATTTTACATTCACACTTTCAATAAAAATTATGGCACACTATAAATCGCTTGGTCTTGTGCAGTGTATACGAGGAATCAATGGTGAAAGTGAAATCTCCCATTAAAAAAGCTCGGTCACGTGACATATAACCAATAAAATATTTTGTTACCCGGTGCAAATAATCACAAAATACTCTCAAACCTTTTTTTTTTTATTAAAAATTTAAAATAAGACTGAACTATACGAAAGGTGTGAAACAACACTAAAAACAGCCTTTGTATCCGTGTGGAAGTTTTTAAACAATTCTGTGAAAAATTAGACAGGTGTTATTTAATGGAATGAAAGAAATCAAAAAGGATGGCCAAGATATTCGTAATAGATGGGATGAAAAAAAAACTTATTGAAATTTCTAAAATATAGCTATTTTTTCCATATTTATATTCTTAATAATTAATTTTATTAATATATAACGCATATAAATCAATAAACTAAATAGGCACACTTTCTCCAGCATCGCGTCACTATTTTTTTTTAAAAAAAAAAATCGATGGATAAATAATTGAATACATTACAGAATATGGAATATTTTAAAAAATTCTTACTGTTAATATCAAATCTCTATTCAGAACCTGTCGTATACTGAGATTGTAACTTTCAGAACTCGCGAGGGTTTTCTTTGCCTTAGCTAAAATACTCCTAGCGATAAATTTATTCATTCGTTGTTCTCCTTTTTCTAACTTTTCGATAATCTTTTCAATGTTACCAATTTTTACTTCCCAATAGAGTTCATAATGAGAGATAATGTCAACAATATTATTAAGACCATTATACATCACTCGTAGGTATTTCTCTAACGCTTTCTAATTGGTAATTTAGAATGATACTAATATTAGATGAAGTTTCAACAACTGTGGTAGAACGTTCAGCTGTAGCCGCACTGTGAAATTAATTTTTTTGTCATATTCAAATTAATTAACTACGTAACTTAAAATACAAAACTTCCTTTAACAAAGGCAACAAAGGCAAGACAACTAAGCCCAACGACAACTTCTGCGACAGGAATCGCTACTAAGAATGTTCCTCCTGTGAACGGAGCTGCTATAGCTGCAGTAATAACCCCAATTTCAGCTACTATTTTACCTCTTGTCGCATATGATTTTGCATCATCTGTTATTTTATCTACCGTATCAATGTGATTGGATAAGACTTTTCGTTTCTCGGTAATTTTCTCATTATATTCAGAAATTTTTTTAGCAATTCCACTTAAAGAATTTTTAATATTTTCAATTTGTTTCTTTAACAATGTAGCTTCTGATTTATATGACTTAGAATCGCTTAATAATGAACTTAATGATTCCTTCAGGTCCTCCTTACTAGACTTTGAAATATAGATTCTTCAGAAATTCCACTTTTTGTTTAGAAATTTGTTTAATTTTCTCCTGAATAAAATTATCCTCGACTCTAATCTTACTAATTTGAGAAAAACATTTGATTGATCGAATTACTTCCTTTTGTAATTTCATTCATATCAGGCTTAGTGGAAATTAAAGTGTCCGTCGTTTTTAAAATTTTTAATTAAAAAAAAATGTGTATATATTTTAGGGATAGTTTCTTTAGGTGGGTTGTTTTATTTTTCAAATAATAATCTCATTTTATGAAATGAAGAAATTTCTTTTTTTATTTATTTTTAGGGTAGGTAACATAATATTAACGACCTCATTCTGAAATGAGAATAGATAATCATATCATGCTCATTATTGTTGTGTAATGTTTGACGTTAATGTGAAAAATTGACTCGTTTAAGTACAAATTATAGGATTCTAGATAGTCAGAACAATAAGTTTGAAATGATACAGAATGTTTTATTATTTAAAATACAAAACTTGCATGATTGAATAACGAATTTGTTATAAACTGTCACGTAACGTTACTATTCGATGGTAAGACAAGTTTATTCAAAAGATTCAAGATCTTCCCCTATGTAGGGATTGGAATCGATTCTGCGATAGTCGAATTAATCGAAAATCGTTTCTGAATCGATTAATCGAAAATCGCATGAAAAAATCGAATCTGACGCCTAAACAATTTTTTCATTCTTATGACCTTTTATAATCTTAGTCAATTGTTTCCATTGATGTTTGGCCTAAAATAATATAAAAAATTTGTGTTTTAACGATTAAATAAAATTTTAATTCCGGCCGGCATTAAAGATTGGCCGGAATTAACTTCGTGTAACTTAGAATTTTTTGGTTACAAGGTGGTACAAAACTTATACCAGTTAATAGGGGTTTATAAGTAGCTATGTGGCCAAATTTTGTGTAACGTTACTGCACAAAGGCTTTTGCTTAAGCGAAACTATTTCTAATAGTTAAAAGTGGTCAATTTGACTTAGAAAGTGGTCGATTTGGCCTATTGAATGAAAATTCATGATTATTAGCTACTTCAAGGCCAAATTGACCATTGTCAAGAGTGACAATCATGATGTAAATATTAAAAGAATAAAAACAAATCAATTTTACATAAAAACCATGATCATCCAAATTGTGACATCCCAAATGTCATGATTTTTATATACATAATAATATCGATTAGAATCAATTAATCAAAACTGAAAATCAAATTTTTAAATTGAATCTTGAGATTTGATTAATCGCAATTAGTCAATTCTATAATCAATTCTTAAAATTAGAATCGATTCCTATCTCTACCCTTATGTACATACGGGATATTTTACACTTAATGGTAAAAGTGATCATATTTTTATACTTCGCATGCCTTCACATCCCCTTATTTATAAATTGCTTAATTAAAAATAGTTATATTCTAAATATTTTATCAAAAATTATATTTCACATCATGGTGTTTATTACCATAATTATATAATTTATGTATTTATTTTTTTATTACATTAACTTTTTATTATTAAATAGTCTTGCTGATCTGATTCTACTTAATATATTTTTATGTTTTTTGATTTTTTTTATTTCACAAAATTTCTAGTACAAAAAAAATCAAATTCTTTTTTTATTCATTTTCAAGGGCGCTAAGAATTAGTACAACTTTACAGAAACTTCAAGATTGTAGCAATGGCTTAATACGCAGTAACTGCATATATATAATATTTTTTTACAGTTACATAATGTGGTCACTATGTATTTATAACGCAGTTACTGTGCATTAAGCCATCGCTATGATCTTGAAATTTTTGTAAAGAACTTGTTTTAGTTTAGGTTATAATTGTGAAATCATATACTATAGTGTTATTTAAGTACCAGTAGTATGTTTTAGTAAAGTTATATTTTATTATTATTTTATAATGCATACAGTTTATTATAATAGAACAAGTACTTTAGCATCATTTTTTTAAAAAAAAATTGATAAATAAATAATTAAAACAGAAATATTGCCAATTTTTATAACATTTTTACTGTTAAAATTTAAATTGAATCTCTATTCAGAGCTTATTACATATTGTTATTGTAATTTTTAGAACTTGCAAGAATTCCTTTTGCTTTAGTAAAAATACTTCTAGTAATAAGTATTATAAATCATTGTTTAGTAAGTTTAACTTTCCAATAAAACATTTAATTTTCTCAATTTAGTAATTCCAATAAGGAATAATTTCATATATAATATTAGAAAAATCTCTTTAGATTTCTTGTAAGTAGAATAAAAGGTAAAACGTTTCTTTATAGATTACATTTCCAAAATTTCTTATGAAAAACTGAAGTTATTTTCAAAGAAAGTGTATAGGAAAAGTAAATGTAAGAATGAAAATAACAGTTTTATTAAAGAGTTCTTACACTTAGCTATCCAACTATATTATTAGCTAGCAGAAGTAGCTGTTGAATATTTTACTAAAAAAGTTAAAGAAACAAGCCAAAATACAACTTTATTATCCAACTTTTTACAAAAAGATGTTATACATTTACTAAAAACCTTTTATAAGAATAATAGCCATCTATATCTGGACTAACTAGAGTTATAAAAATATAGAAGAAGAATAAAATATCTTTACTTTACTACTGAAGTTCTTTAAAACTAAAGTTTTAAAGCTTTTGCTATTACCCTAGCCTTAAGGCCTCCTATCTGAATATTACCAGAACTTTTCAGAACAATTAGGATTAATAAACTAAATTAATAGGATATAAGCTTTACTTTGAATTTCAAAGTAAAGCTAGTGATGTAAAATTACCGTAATTTATAAAATTTATTGTTACATTACGGTAATTTTCTATAAGTTACGTTATATTATGTTATTGTAACATAAAAATTTTTTTTTAATCAAAATCTGAAGAAACAATAAATCCCAATAAAAAAAATAATATAAATATAAATACTGTAATTCTGAATGAATAAAAATGCAACAAGATTGCAGGAATAAGTTAAAACTTGTATGATAAGATCATAAAAAAAGTTGCAGTAGGTTAGTAAAATATGATAATAAGCTACTTTTTATTTATTAATATTTGTTATAAATTATAAATTTGGCCAAAATTAAGGTAATACTAGCCAAATTATCTTAATTCTGATAAACATATCAATACATATCAATGTAATGTTACATTCAGTTTATGTAATTTACAGTGTAAGTTACATAATATAATATAATGTAACGTAACGATTAGCATCCCTACTTTGAATTATGTTAATGTAAATCTATTAAATAATAAATCAGATTTACTGTATAAAGTAATTTCTGATAACACATCATACTAATTATATACTATATAATCTTTCACAATGAATTTATCTATACCACCTTAAAATGAAAATGTAAAAAAAAAGAAGTTTAAAGAAAAACTGAAAGTTTGAAACAGCTGACTTTTTTATTAATAAAACCTTACCAGTATAGAAAAAGCTATATTTGTAAAACTATCTGAATAATTTAAGGGTTAATAAATCAGTACTTAAGCTTCTAATTAGAACAAAAAAACTAAAACATTAAGGTTATTGCTATGTATATAATTAATAGTTATTCGGCACTTTGTGCTGAATAACTATTATATTGGGTAAATCAGGACCCCGGATATCTAATATAAAGGTCATAATGGACTTTTGGCCAAAAACACCCCTTTTTGCTGAAACTCAAAAAATCGTTTTTTGTAAATATCTCAGCATCCAGTAATTCAATTTTAATGAACTTTTTTTTATTTTGTAGCCCTCATTTAGCTCTACAATTTAAAAAAAAGTTCATCAAAATTGGACTACTGGATGCCGAGATATTTACAAAAAACGATTTTTTGAGCCCCTGAAAAATGGGCCAATCTGCCGAAAGTGTGACTTATGACCTGTTTTGGAGATATCCGGGGTCCTGGTAAATCAAATTTGATTGGTTGATCTGAGCTCTACAGGAGTTCGAGATCAACTGAACAAATTTGATTTCCAATATAATAAGCTATCTTTATGTGGCGTTAGTTATTCAATTTGAAGTGCTGAATAAGTGATTTATCCAGTATCCTGTAATTATGTGATTACAAATCATTTATTTAAGCTTTTTTAAGCTTTTTTTCTCTTCACATAATCTCTTTTATGCGTAGCCTCTTTTAATTTTTTTTTACACAAACCTCTTTTATAATTTCTTTACATGTAATCTCCTTTAATATTTTTTTACATAAACCTTTTTAACCTCTTTCAATAATTTCTTTATACACATTATTTCAATGTAAAATAATGGAGAATATAAAAGAAATAAGTATTTTATAAATACAGATTATTATTAAAATCATTATATTTTAAAAACTAATAAATTTTTAGTCTTATTTTAAATCTACAGCTAGTGCTACGATCTGTAATTTGATCAATTCAGATTGATCTGTTTATCTGAATTGAAATCGAATATTCGTATCTGATTATTTTTGACAGATTGATCCGATTTTTAATTCTGACCAGCATTATAGTTAGCTTAGGCCAGTACTAAAAGTTTAGGCAGAGCTAACTCTCGTAATTGAAACTTCAATTCCGCCCAAAATTACAATTTTGGCCAGAATTAAGATTAGTTTGACGATCTGGATTGAATCTGAATGTGTTAATGAGCATCTGAATTCAATCCGGATGGTCTTTTAGAACTCGGATTATACCTCTATCTACAGTTAAGGAACTTTTAAAGGTTTAAGAAAGTCTTATATCACAAAATACAGTTAAATGTAAAAAAAAATGGATTAATATTTTAAATTCTTGACGAAATCATAAAGATGTAGGCTATACATATACATTAGAATCACTTTCCTCTAATCAACAAATTGAAAAAGAAATGTGCGAGTTTATTTATGGTATAAGAACAAAATCTGGAGAGTGATATTCAAGAACTTCACTTAAAAATGCAGTTGTTTCAATAAGTCGCCATCTTAAAAACACCATTCCACAATAGAATTATAACCTTTCAGATAAAAATTATTTTCCAAAGTTACATGCTACTTTTGATAACACATTAAAAGAGATGAAAAAGTTAGGAATAGGCGCAGCAAAGCCACATGAAGGTTTGACAAATGACAAATTAAAAATTATTTTAGATCGTGATGCTATGT